GTGCCCATCTGTGTCATGCCTCTGGTAGGCTGGCTACGGCTAGGACTGTATACCCGGGGGGGTTTGCAGGCAGGGCCTTGGGCCCTCCGCATGCCTTCCTGCACAAATTCCACGCTAACTCACGCACCGGCAAACAAGTGCCTGTTTGCGCAGCCTGTTTGCGTGGCTCCCTGGGGGGCTGGGCCAAGTAGGGGCCTGGGCGGGGACTTGACCTAGCCCAGCTCCACGCAGCCACCTCCTCCCACTCAGATAGGGGTTAACCCCTTCCCACCACAAGCCCCGCTTGCCTCCAGCTGTGCTGGGGGTTGGCAGGGGGCTCCGCAGCTACTGAGGGGTGTCTGGGGTGTCTGGGAGGCTTTGGGGGAGCAGGGGTGCAGCAGACTTTCACCCGCATGTCTCTCGCTGCTCTGGAGCCTAACTGGGGCTTTTTTTTGCTGTTTGGCAGGCCCTTTTAAACTGCGCACATGCGCAGTGGACCCACCGTCGGGGAAAGCTGCTCTCAGGCAAGAGGGGGCCCTGCCCTACTGGAAGTGGACTGGTGAGTACCCCCTCCTACTTTTCTTTCTCCCTGGGGGGCTGGGCCAAGTAGGGGCCTGGGCAAGGGCTTGACCCAGCCCGGCTCCACGGAGCCACCTCCTCCCACTCAGAGAGGGGTTAACCCCTTCCCACCATGAGCCCTGCTTGCCTCGAGCTGTGCTGGGGGTCGGCAGGGGGCTCTGCAGCTGCTGAGGGGTGTTTGGGGTGTCTGGGGGTCTTCAGGGGAGGCGAAGAAAGGAAAAGACCCTTTGGCAGTTGTGTCCATAGTTTATAGTTCAGAGTTCATAGATGTAGGGTCAGAAGGGACCTGAGCAGATCATCAAGTCCAGCCCCCTGCCCTGGGCAGGAAAGAGTACAGGGCTTATATGACCCCTGGTAAATTTAAGCTCATATGACCCTAGCTAGGTAGTTATCAAGCCTCCTTTTAAAGACCCCTAAGGTAGGAGCCAACACTACTTCCCTTGGAAGCTGGTACCAGATCCTGGCTGCCCTGAGTGTGAAGTAGTGCCTCCTGATGTCTAGCCTGAACCTACTCTCAATCAACTTGTGGACGTTATTCCTTGTTACTCCGGGAGGTGCTGGGGGGAACAGTGTCT